AGGTGTTAAGAGTGCCTGGAAAAGAAGCAGAAAATTCCTTCGGTTGTAAAGCATTAATTAGTAAGGCCTTCTGCCATAGCAACATAAGCACCTCAAAAAGGAAGTCAAGTACATCAACTAAGGATCTCCCGGGCCCAGCCTTGGCCCTCAGCCCGGCCTCTCGGCGGCCCTTGTGTAACCGGCGTGATTTCCTCACACACGCCGCCCTCCTTGGGACCGCCGAGCGCTGCTCGGCCATTTCCCGCCCTCGCCTTCCCCTCAGCGGGGGCTGCGGCGCCGGGGAGGGAAAAGGGCGGGGGGGGCTGTGTCTGAGCGTTAATACACCGTCTCGCCTTGCTGGCTGTCCCTAAGCTGCTGCTTTCAGGGCAAGAGCACTCTAAAAGCAAAGATTATGAGTATTAAGCGTGAGGAATTGCCCAAGTGGGTGCGCCTCGCCAGCCCTGCACGTTAATAGTGAGAAGGAAGATCTTGGCACATGGCGAGCGTGCAGTGTACCGGGCCGCGCTTCAGGAGACTTGGGCAAATGAAGACTGACGCATCTCGGTTAACTTCTCCTAAATATGGGCGCTGCTGGCTTCCCTTCCCCTTCCCCCAACCCTTACCAGCACTGCCTGGCCTTTCCTGCTCTGAACCAGTCGCCGCCTGTTCAGCACGAACTTTAGAGTCGCATTGTGCTGCCCCTGCCTCGGGCTCTTCGGGGAGGGAGAAGCTGTGCTGCTCCGCCTGGGAAAGCATGGTGTGGGCTTCTGCGGGCAGAGAGAGCAGTGCTTCATCATCGTCATGGCACTGCGGTGCCCCTGTGGCTGCCAGATCAGAACCCAGATAACCAGGCTGCCAGCAGCCGGTAGCTGAAGAAATTGAGGATGGGAGAGACGGTAACACCAGACTCTAGACATCTTAATTTAAAACTATGCCGTTTCAGTTTAACTAAGTTTAACCAAACCTGTAAAGTTGACTTTGAGCATCACACAGTGCTTAAGGGCTTGCTTCAGAGTACCAGTTTTTCAAGACAGTGGAATAGAGATTGCCAGACCATGCTGTGCTTAGAAATACTAAAATGGCTTCCTTTACCTAAACGTAATATGGATGGTCATTTAGAACGTTCTACTAACGCTGCTGGAGTGCCACCCAGCTATATAATCGTTGGTTCGCAGGCTGTATTTGAGGGAAAGCTACAGCGATCTTAAACAGTACATTGCCATTAATAATTCAGTTTTCTAATAATTTTGCTGCATACAGGCAGTACTGCCAGATGTTTTAGGCATGTGATTTGTATCCATTTTCTTGTCATCCCGGAATAAAGGCCATTTTACTTGATACAAATATTCCGGTGTCAGTAAAACCTCTGAAGCCTGGAGAAATAATCTGTTGCTTTCCTTGCAGCACCATACCACCATGTCTCTCAAGGATCAGCTCATCCACAATGTCCACAAACAGGAGCAGAGTCATGCCCACAATAAGATCAGTGTGGTTGGTGTGGGTGCAGTTGGAATGGCCTGTGCTATCAGCATCCTGATGAAGGTAAGTGTCAAGCTTGGGATGAAGCAGCACTGTTGTGACCACCTGAGGCCTAAAAGAGGGGCAGAAAGTAATCTCCTTTATTAGACTAACTGGGCTAGCACGCAAGATGAACTTTTGGTTGTCCATTCTTTTCTTTTGGCCTTCAATGAAGCAGCAATGTTTTAAGCTATTGACAGAGAACAAATAGCTGTAGTTCTCGAAAACCAGGCTTATCCCAGTATCAGATAGAACATGCTCTGTATCATTTTGACTTAAGAGCTGCATTTACCTTTGAACAACTTCCAGAATCCCTTCTAGGAACTGAGGCATTATTTTGTCTGCAGCAGGCCGCGACAGAATACTTCCTTGCAGTGTGGACTGGAAAAAGTGACTGGTCTTATGCATTGCATTATCATGTTGAAAATGCTGTGTTTAACATCAGGCTTGCTTTTTGTAACTGTAAAACAGGTTGTTTATGAACAGCTATTAAATTATTCTTCATCTTTGTCATGCTAAACTGTACAACTATTCCACATGGAATGTGGATACGAAAAGTACAAAACTAACTCAAAGTCCCAGGAGACTTAACCACTCTGCTTGTGAACAAGTAAAGGGATACAGATGAGCAAAACTGCTTAAATAGGTGACTGTTTTTAAGAGAATTGTTACTTCACAGTTTACAAATTGAGTACTTTCCTCAAAGAGGCAATAAACTTACTATTTAATATCGGTTTCTTGTAGGACTTAGCTGATGAACTTGCCCTTGTTGATGTTGTGGAGGACAAGCTCAGAGGAGAGATGCTAGATCTTCAGCATGGCAGCCTCTTCCTTAGAACGCCAAAGATTGTCTCTGGCAAAGGCAAGTAGTTGGCTCTAATGTGCTCATTATTTCTAAATGGAGTTAGCCCCTTCAGATCTCAAACTGCTCATCCAGGTCTAGGACATAGCCTGTCATCTTAATTGGTAGGAGGAAAGCTCACTTCATTTCTGCTCAGCTGACATTCAGTTTCACAAACCTTAAGGCTGGTCCAACTAGGAATCCTCTGTTCCAGAGTTCATCGCTCAGTAGAGGAAGGTGAATTTCCTCAGTACTCCTGCACCTTTGAGAATTTTATTTCACAGCCAGTTAGCTCCCAAATGTGTTACTACTTACTTTTTGGCCATAAATGTCTGACAGCTTTAAGTTTAGTGGCAGTCTGACTAGGGCAAGTGCTAACCATCTCATGCCTTAGTTAATGTGCAGCTCCAGTGCCCACAGGTAGTAGGTTACAAGGGCTTCTTCCTTTTCTACACAGCACTTGCACTGAATGCCATCCTGACAGCTACCCTATACCCCTCTGTGCCCAAGAAGCAGGCAATACCACCGCCCAATTCTAAATATTAAGATTTTTGATGTGCCCTTAAGGTTGACACTTGTGGCAGTGAACCACAGTTTTAAAAGAAAACTTAATTTTGTACAGAAGCAAAGTCTAGGGTAACACTTACCAGGAGAATTTTCTGCACCCTCAAACTTGGGAATTTTAGGTATCTATACCAGAAGGAACTGAGAACTCCTGTTCTGAAGCATGTGTAGAAAGGGGTCATGTTTGACACAGCCTTTTGTCTGCAGATTATGGTGTGACTGCACACTCCAAGCTGGTCATTGTCACTGCTGGTGCCCGTCAGCAGGAAGGAGAGAGCCGCCTTAACTTGGTCCAGCGCAACGTGAATATCTTCAAATTCATCATTCCCAATGTTGTTAAATACAGTCCTGACTGCAAGCTGCTTATTGTCTCAAACCCAGGTTTGTCTTGTGTTGCCTTATTAATAAGAGGATTTGGCTTAGAGAATAGTTTTCTTCAGTAAGGTGGCAGTGGTATACTAATATGACCAAGTATAGGCTTTTAGAAAATACTTGTGCCATAGCAAGAAGTGTCGTCATCCCTCTTGACACGTGGTAGGCTGCTCCTCTGAGAAATAAACCAAGTTGCCTCCAACTGGGGTCTTTGGTGGCCTTTTAAGTGCTCTTTAGCATGAGACACAGTAGGGGCACTGATAATTGCATGTACAGCATAAACAGCCTCTCAGTTCAAACACAGTCATGATGTTAGCTCACTGCAGGGCTGGCAATGGGCATTACTTCATGCTACTTTCATGGAATAGAGCATAAAGATAAAATCCTTACAGATGAATGGAAGATGGGATCCTAATTGTCAAACTACTCATGAATGGCACTTGTTATCCTCCCTGTTCTACTTACAGTGGATATTTTGACCTATGTGGCCTGGAAGATCAGTGGCTTTCCTAAACACCGAGTTATTGGTAGTGGCTGCAATCTGGACTCTGCCCGTTTCCGCCACCTCATGGGAGAAAGACTGGGCATCCATCCCCTGAGCTGCCATGGATGGATTGTCGGAGAGCACGGAGATTCCAGTGGTAAGCATGAAGTCTGGGTGGCTGCTACACAGAACTTTTCCTAGTAGTTCATTTGCAAGAAACATCTCCAAAGCTACAACAAAACGTTGCTCAGAAATCTCTATGCTGCAAGCACTTTAAGAATGCAAGTCCCACTTTAAGCCTTCTACTATGTAGAGTAACCCTAGATGATCTATATTTGACCTGAGTTACTCTGCTTAGAAAAGGTCATTACTGTAACATGAGGAGGCTAAAAATTTCTTGGCTAAGTTGTTCCCATAACTCTCCAGGAAAAAAAAAAAAACAAACCAACCAGAAGCAGCAAGAGGGTAAAGTTCCCTGCAAGGGACTCCCAGAGATGTGCACTAGACCTACTGGTAGTTGCTCAGTTGTCTTTACTGGCATCTCTTGATTACTTCAAGAACTATATATAAGGATTGAAGTGCAGAGGCAAGTCTAGAGGACAGGAGAAAGAGCAACTTTTTTCCTTCCTTCACCTGTACTTTGTCTAGCAGCACCAGAGCAGTTCTGTCTGCTTCCTGACAGGAGGACTCACTTGGCATAAGTTTTTGTTTTGAGAAACCTTTGCAAAATAGTTACTGTAATTTTAGTTGTTGCTTCGGTGTTTTGCTTTAATAAAAAGTACATTCAGATGTTGTGGTATCATGTATAAAGATATTTGTATGCTCCTGGGTTCTCAGCCTGCAGTTTAGATTAGCCTCAGTCATATATAAATCATAGTGGCATGTGTGTTGCAGATTAACCCAACCAGATCTTATGTTAAATGTTAATTAGAGGAGGGCAGAACTAAATTTTTTTGTGAGATAATTAATCTATGTGCAACTCTCAGTACCTGTCTGGAGTGGAGTGAATGTTGCTGGCGTCTCCCTGAAGGCTCTCCATCCAGACATGGGAACCGATGCAGACAAGGAACACTGGAAGGAAGTCCATAAGCAGGTGGTGGACAGGTAAATACTGATCTTTTTCAACACGGGAACAAATGATGTAGAGCTATAGTACCTCTGAACTGCATTATCTGTATCTGGTTGCATCCTGACATTTGTTTTGGGCTACTGTGGTATTTATGAAGACATAATAGGACTTGAAATAGTATTTTAAGGAGTAAATGTAGATTTGGCAGAGTTAACTTTTTATGGTTAGTGGATAAGAGAAGTGCTTTAACTGACAAGTTTCCAGTATAGCCACAGGGAGGAGTATAAAATGCAAATGGAGTCCTTCACTGCCGAGTTCATTTCAGCCCTGTCAGCAAATCAGTCAAGTTTCTGATGTCTCCAGATTGACTGAGGCACCTCCAGAAGCCCTTCTTACAAACTTTAAATATTTCAGTAGATGGTACTTGTGTTTTAAATGAGTAACTTTTGCCTCTGCAGTGCCTATGAGGTCATCAAACTGAAGGGGTACACATCATGGGCTATTGGCCTTTCTGTGGCAGATCTAGCTGAAACTATTATGAAGAATTTGAGAAGAGTGCACCCTGTCTCTACAATTGTTAAGGTGAGCAGCCCCTTTTTGCTAACTTTCTGTCTTACTGACAACTAAAACCCTTGGGAATTCTGAAGAACAGTGGTAACTTTCTAGTTAATTTCAACTAAACTCGCATTTTCCTGATGGGATATTCTATAAAATACATAGACCTACCATGAATTCTAGCCTAAATCTCCTTCCTTACTTTTCAGGGCATGCATGGAATAAAAGATGATGTCTTCCTAAGTGTTCCTTGTGTACTGGGCAATAGTGGCATCACTGATGTAGTGAAGATGATCCTAAAACCCGAGGAAGAGGACAAATTAAGGAAGAGTGCAGATACACTCTGGGGAATCCAGAAGGAACTACAGTTTTAAATCTGCCCAAGCAGTTCACTCTTTGCAGTTTAACGGGTTTAGTGGTTTCTCTTAACATTGCACTTTCCAAGTAGGTCAGATCTTTCAATATATGTATCTCAACTAGAACACACAAAAAGCTCAAATCTGAACAAATGAATTTCTCAAAGATAGTGTTAGGGAACTACTGGAGGGTTTTCCCTGTGCAAACACCCATGTTCTTAGCCAGAGCTAGATAGCCTAGTCAGTCTTGTACAGTGAAGTGGTGTGACAGAAATCCAGCATTCAAAGCAGCACTGCCTAGAAAACCCTTTGCCTTTTCCTCATCTTGTATAATGTTGGTTCAGAACAATAAGTAACTAAATACCAGACAATGTGAAACCAAAGACTATTTTCTTGCAGTTAAAGGATTGTCAAGCCAATTGACCAACCTTCTCTGCCAGCTGAATAGCTCAAATATTTCACTGTTGGTAGGTCCAAATATATTTTCCTAACACTGCTTTGGAATTTTTATGTATACTTTTTTTTTTTAGAGAACCTTATTTTTGTGTATGATACCAGCATAGTTGTAGGTTTGTCTCCTGAGCATGTTTAAAAAATGTTAAGGTTTCTGTATGCAACAAAACAGTGACTGTCCAACTGTAGTACCAGCTCCAACACCAAATAAACCACAAACTTATTTCTGCCTGCTTGTTTTTCTTTATAGGGTGTTGTCTCCACTTGCACCTATCTAAATCAAACAATTCTATTTCTTCAGCCACACCAACTCAAGCCTCATGTGTAATTAATTATGTTACATGTGCAGGCTACAGATAGTTATGTAGTGAACTTTCTAGCAGTCTTGAGGCAGGAATGAAAAAACAGTAACGGAGTGTTTAAATATGCAGAAGGTAAACTTGATTCCCATCTTAACACAAAGAAACAGGCTCTGCTGACATGATGTTAGGGGAGTGAAGAAACAATGCAACAAAAGAAGTGTCTTCCTTACCTGTACATGCAAAAACACAGGTAGGAAGAAGTCTCTCCACATTAAGTATGTGACATCCATAAAAAGTCAACTTGCTGCTAAGCACAGTAAAGCATCCCCTCTGGAAAAGCAGCCATGCACCAAAACAATGACCAGTTACTCTTCAAAGCCCAGAGTAAGTCACATAAGGAAGAATTAACCATCTTCTCTCCCATTAATATTTTAAAACAATATCCCTCATTACAATGGAGAGGGAAAGGCCTTATCTTTTTCTAACATTATGACAACATAGCATGCAGCCTAAGAATGGCAATTAAGAATGATTTAAGTCCAGGGTAGATTTTTAATACAGGCTGCAGCTGATGAGACTTTTCACAACAGAGTATTTTAGAACAAGATGAAAGTGCTCACAAAGCAACTTTAGTAACAAAGGAAAAGCTGTAGCTCCTGTGCTGCTTTCTCTTAACAGCCACGAGACCAAAATAGCATCTGTAAGAGAGCACACCGCAGTAGTGACAAATAGTCATGGTTTATGCAGATGGCAGGGAGATGGTATGAAGCCATTTTTTAAACTTTCAAAAGATCCACAGGACTTACAATTTTTACTACATGAAGCCTCAACCAGCTTTTTAATACAATCTCCTACTTCAGATCCAGTGGTAACATGAACAGCCTTAAGACAAACGCTCAGTTTTGAGCCACATCAATTACTGTGCTGTGACTGAGAAACTTTCACTTTCAAGCCAGCTTTGCTGAGGCAGCCTTCAAAAGCCCCTGGGTGAGGACAGCAGCATGCTGCTGACAGGCAATAAGAGCAGCCCCGGGAATGCCTACAGCGCTCCAAGCTGGGAGATGCTCCGTACAACACAGCTTCTTCATCAGACAGGGCAGTGCGTAACCACCCAGCTCACACAGCCAGAACCTGGGCTTCCTGTGGCCTTCTGGTGACACGTTTTCAGCCTGGCAGGTAGTGCAACACCAAATGCAGCAGCATCCCTTTTGACTAGCACTGTCTAGTGGAAAAATGCAGTACACGTCAAGGCTTCTTAGGGCACCAGAAGGTCCACCCCCCTATCACCATGATCTGAGGGCAGAACAGGCAAGTCAGTGTAACAGTTACTAATCTCACTTCAAGAAAACAGTTTTTGGATGTCAACAGCGAGGTCAAGCAGCAGGGCCTTGAAATTTTGAGTTTTCAGCTTTTACTGGTCATAACAAAGGTTAGTCACACTGCTTTTCCAGTCTGGGACACTGAAATGTCTTCCAAATCTCACAAGTGAAAGTATGGTTAGGCTGACACTGCAGAAGCCAGGCCTGTTCGTAAAGGAAGCGCATGGTACACGGTTTTGTAGAGGAAGAAAATATGCAACAAGTTTTATTCAGCGTTAAGTCCACCAGCACAAAGATTACAAGAGATAGAAAGTGCATTAATAAAAGCTAGTCTTTACCAAAAAGAAAATATATTATTGATTCAAAATATCTTACACTTGAATGATGTAATAACTTATTCTGGGCACCTACTGATTAAGAGAAATATCAAGAGAATGTCTGCTCATAAGGAAATCTAACTTCCCAGTTAAAGTCTGAGAATTTAGTAGAGATCACTGAGTCCAGCAGTCTTCCTTGCTTTCTGCATTAATGCCCTCAGCTGGAACTGCTTGCGAGACAGAAGACGTACATGCTGCAGAAAGAAAGAATAAGAACAGCTGGATATTGGGAAAGTTTTGATAAGAATCTTAATTACGTTGCAATACAGATTTTCAAAGCATCCAAACAGGATGTTTGTTATTTTGGAAACACTAAATGCATTAGCCTACTAAATGGCATTTCTTGACTTAAAATGACTTACAGATGGCTACCAAATGCAATCATTATAGTATATTTTTTGTGATTTTAATTATTAACTCTGCACATATTCTTATCAAAGAGAAAAATAGCAATATGTACTGCAAGGTGAAGTGAGACTAATGCACTTCCCATGGGGCAGAGAACAGTTCTTTTAATAATGGATAAACAGAAGTAGCAAGCTACCTAAGAAGGAAATAGTATGTCTGTGTAGTGCATTGTACACTGGATGTTAAAACCAAAGTCTAAATTGTAACCTGGGGGGAACCTCAACTGTTAGAAAAAGGAAGGACTGGTAACTTGTTACCCAGTGGCCCCAGTACAGACTGTTATCGCTTCTGCATAATAATCTTTCCAGATCCAATGGCAACATTAATTGCTCTCACATATACATCTTTTATTCCACATTAAAAAGTGGTTTTAATCTTTTCAGAATAACAACAGATCTGTTTTATTTCATATGCCATCATCATGCACATAAACTCAAAATAAAGGAAGGTTATTAGATCAGATTATGAAAACTTTCAGCATTAAGGACAGCAAAGAAAGGGAACAAAATTGCCTAAGAAAGTCTCTGCTAGAAATGCAAAACTAGCTCGTGTGGGGTTTTTTTTCCCCCCTACAATTCTAACACTCCACTGGTTGCCTCAGCAGAGGATCCATAGACTGCAAGTGAAGAGCTGTCTGAATACACCACTCAGTTTCTCCAGAAATAAGATGCAAGCCTAATGGAAAGCTTACGTTGACACTGTTGCACCTATCTAATGATAAATGACTTTGTATCTATAGTACTTTTAAAATTGGACTTTTATCTTAATTCTGAAATTCCTTTTTTAAAACTTACATTTCAACATGTATTCATGTTCTTACAGGATCCTCTTTGGTGAAGAAATTGTTAACATTAAAAACCTGAACAAGAGTTCAAAGTATTTAAACACATTTAAAATGCAAATCTTAAAGACATCCCAAGAAGCCTACCTTTAAGAAGACATCTAGATCTATCACTCCACGTCTCAATGCTTCCCCAAGATAGAAGATGGTGTCTTCAATTGCATTTTCCTCTGCATATAAGTTCAGGATCTGCTTGTAAAGTGGTGCTGTAGGAATAATAACTTCATCTATGTCATTATTTTCTGACTGACTTTCCATTTTCTCTAAGGCAGAACTGAGCTCCTCATCCTTCTTCTTCAGAAGTTCAATGTTCTTGTCAACTTCAGCCTGAAAACAATTAAGATGTTTATTTATTTCTTAGGTCTTCAGAACTGAATGTCTTCTTGTGATACAACTGTCAAGATGAAAGATTTTTAGACATGCCAGTTGGTTCTTCTCTACTCATCTCTGTTATGAGTTTTACCAAAGAAAGAGCTATCAGTCTATAGATTTCAGATTCTTCCATTTTAAAAAAAGGCTTTTACAGATACTGTCAATCCATTACCAATTTATAACTGCAGAGAAGGCATGCTAATAGTCTTTAACTATTTTGAAGATGCCACGTAAGGAAAAATAACCACTTAAAGTAGCTAAAGACAATAAAGGAAAAGCCAAAACAGTTATTTTCTTTGAAAATGTGTCTTTTGGAGTAAGTTCCTATATAAGTTTGCTGAGCATGGATCAAACACTTAAAACTGTACTGACAGGAAACAAAATATGCTGGCTTCACCCACTAATGGTAACTGTAATTTAACTGCATCTGTATGAGATGTACCTTCTTTTGCTACTTTTGAATCTGCCTCCTGGTATTTTCAATGTTCCACAGCTAACACACTGGAAGAGACTGTATACCAATGTGGTCTTCCTCATATCACTCAAAGCTCTACAGACTATTGTCACATGCCATTCTCTGTCTCCACTGCTTTCTTTCCAGACTGAAGCCCTAGCTTACTTAGTCATGCTTTATATGGAAGCTGTCTGGTATGCTGGATCATCCTTCTTGCCTTTGCATCAAACATCTGCACTTCTATTATGTCCTTTCTTTCCAAGATAGGAAAACCTAGCATTACACACTACATTTCAAGTGGGTATACAGATATATATACAGTGACATAAGGGTATCCCCTGTCCTGATTATGTCTAGTCCTGATTAATCTAGTCCTGATTAATAATTTAGAATTTTCTTTTTTTAAACCATTATCTGAGCACTAAGCTGGTTTCAGAAACTGCTCATCAATCCCAAAACCTCTACTCCCAAGCAGTAATGCAAGGAGCAGACAAACTAAGCAGATGATGTAGGCCTTATGAAAAACTGCAGGAATTTCTGAGCATACTGAGTAGGAGAGACTCTTGTCTGGGAAAGGAAAAATCTGCAGGTTATACAAGGAAGCTGTGACTAAAATCAGTGTCTCTGCATTACGACACCGAAACATTCTCTAGTGCTGCTGTTACACATTATTATCCAGAAACTGAGACATGGTTATGAAATCATCTCACACCACTGATGTCTTTCACAGGGAGGATGGGGAAAAATAATACTGCTCCTCCACTACTGAACAATGACAGCTGTAAGATACACACAGGACAATGCATCTTACTGTCACTGCTATTTCTGACTTGCTTCAGTCTGAACACATGCATCACAATTGGGAAAGAGAACATATATTTAAAAAGCAATACACTGGAAGCTCTGATATTTCTATCGTGCTTGATAATGAATTCATTACATGCTTCTGTTCACTACTAGGAATACTCAGATATAGAGCAGTGTTTCAATCTCAGCTTACCACTTCTTGATCCAGGCGAGTTACCATTTCTTCCAGTTTCTGGTGTCCTTTCTTCAGATCCTCTTCTGTCCGTTTCAAAGCATTGAGTTCAGCTTGTGCACGATCCATTTCTTCTTTCATCCGCCATCTCAGTTTATCACTGACTGCCGAAATAAGGGAAGCTCTAATGGTATCCTCACTGATAGTTCCATCTCTACTGGGGCCTGCACAAGAAAATTCACAAGCATAAAATTAATTCTCTTTAATATAAAGCCAGTTTGAAAAACATAGTGGCTAACTTGCTGTATGTACTTTAGCAATGAGACAGTAAAATAAACTGGTTTACATCACAATTTTCAGAAGCAGTGAAGAGACCACAGTGAGATAAACCACACTAAGATGTACACAAAGTATGCATCCATTCATTCATTTTACTATTCCCATATGCACAATTTCCCTTGAATTTAAAAAAATTGGTTGGCCATTTTCCCCAAAGTCTACAAATGTTGTTAGTCTGAGTCTTTAAAAGACAACTAAATTTCTGGTATGCTACAGGAATTAATGGATATGTGTATTCAACCACAATTAATGCAATGTCTGGCTAGAGACAGTGCTTTTGCCTATAGGTACTCTACCTTGAGACTTGGGGTTTTTTAAAAATTAATGAAAATAGATGAGCACTAAGCTAACAAAATTAATTTAGATGAAAAAGATCTTAACTGCTGCCCTTTTATATTTATGAAGATCTAATAGCAGGGTCTGTTTAACTGACAAATTACTGGACAGTAACGAGTGATTAAAAAGCTACAATATTATCTAGTCTTTCCAATTGGTTTCACAATTATCATTCAGCCATCCTAGGGCAAGTATGGGGGGCAGTAAACCAATCAGCATTAATATAGAACATTTTTTATTGAGGTATTCTTACTTTAACAAGCAACATTTATTAGAAGATTATAAAGCAGAAGAGAAATGTTAATCAGTTGTATTAGCATATGATTTATAGGTATGTTCTAGCAGACTAAAATCAGATGGCAATCTTTTAGGTACACGTTCAGTGTTATACTGAGTCTACCATTTGTTTTTTTTAAACTACTGCAGGATGGTACTGTAATTGGAGCGAGGTGGGGAGCAGCATAGTTTATAAAATTAGATAACAGCATCCACAAAAAACCTGTAAAATTCTCTCTGGATAAAATACTACTTTAATGTTAGTTGAATAAAGAGTATTAGTCAAACATACAGAGATTCTGTGGAATTAGTTACACAATTTGATTCTAACAAAAGTGAGAATAGCTATTTTAAGGTAAGACAAAGATGGTGACATACAAAGATGATGACATACAATTTGACTGCAGATATACTAATTTGCCAGTTTCACTTGGTCCATTGTGCCCAGAAACTTAGGGCAGATTTTTAGTAGCAGTGAAACAACTAACCAATACTGTTCTATTATACAGCTAGCTTCTATAAATGATCAATGTTAAACTGCAGAGGCTGCTATGTAGTTGAGTTACAACAACTGAGGCTACTACCTTTTTTGATTGCTAGGTACAACTTGTAGTTTCAGTTTATTAAATCACATTTTAATGCAGCAGTATTCGAAAATATAATAGAAGAAAATAACTTCTCTAATGTGCCTAAAATTTCCAACTTTTATTGATGAAAGTAGAGAGATTTGAAGTTCTGTAACTGGAAAGAAAATTTGCAAAAAAATTTTACCACAGTTTCTTTTTATCTAGAGAGACAGTTATCAATCCAGAACACAGCTTATAAATCTAAACTCTGCCTTTAGAAACAAGTATCTGAATGGAAAAATAACAATTTTCTGTTAGGGTATCATCATAACTTTAAAAAAAAAAAAATAAAAAAAAAAATCTATTTGGAGTGTATGTTGGTATTGTTATATTAACAAATGCAAACTGTTGTTGACAGGACTGCATACCTCAATCCTTAAAACATCCTGAGGATTTTTTGGACTTCTGCTACTAACAGAAGTTGACTGCATAAATTCCTTATCTCTCCCCTATGCCTTTTACTCTATTCCTGTCCACAAAAACTACACCAAGCCAGATATGTGAAAATTAAAGCAACGCAGGTGACATGAGAGGAACTATGGGAAGATGCACATCATACTTACTAATCCACCAAATTCTTCTAAACTTAAGAAAACATCACATTTTGATAATTACTAATGTGATCACTTTACTTGCATGCAAATTGCACCAGAATATGTGTAATTATTTTTTTTTAATTAAAAAATAAGCTAATTACTACTGGAAAAAATATACTGATTTATTAATCAACTGGTGCAAAGACAGCCTTATGAAAATATAAATTTCCCAACACTTCATCTGATTTACAGTTCTTGCTTAAGCAATTCACCCTGTCGCCAGTCAACAAGGTAATTTTCAATATCTGCTTAACTGTTAGAATCAGCAACAGAAGCTGTCAAATGGCACCATACACACAGACCCAGGAATAGCTGCTTCTAATGAAAAGGAGAAGAGTACTTTCTACAATGAGAAGTAAAACTTAAACCAAGTCAGTCAAACTATCTGGGACAAAGAGTTTATTCACTGTGTAGGACTTCCTGCTTGAAGCAGACAATTGTAAATATACATTGTCCAAATCAGAACAAAAAGGTCCGATTTCACTTCAAGAATAGCATTAGCATGATTTCAGTTACTGTTTACATAATTAATTACTTTCTAACAAAGTCAGAATCAGCCATCAGTTCCACTTTTTTTCTTTCCCTGATATCCCCCACTCCAGGAGATTTCATATAAGCCTCACTTTAAGAGTGAAGTAGGACAGAGAAAAAAATAAAATCACAATACACCTAAAACAGTGAAAGTTCACACAGAAATCCCAACAGACAGGAAAGAGGTCTTTGATCATATAAAGGATCATCCTAATACAGCTTCCATTAGATTTTATGTATCTTCTTAAAGAGCATGAACCCTTAGCATTTTCTGTTGTTTCCATAATTAGCCCAGCTTGGGGAAGATTTTATGGCACATAGCCATTAAAACCTACAGAGCACTGAAACCCTTAACCTTTACCAGGCAGAGTCTGATTTCAGAAGTGACCTTACAGAATCATCAAACTAGTAATTGCATCAGAAAAGTAATTAATGGCAGATGATTGAACAGAAAGAAAAACCCTCAAGGAGTATTTGAAAACCCAGCGATTATTAAAAGTTTAAACTACTCTGAATTATTATTTTCATTCAATTCAAACTAAGCTCACTATAGGATACACCTCACCACCACCCCCAAAACTCTGAAGTTGCAGCACCTGATATGCTCCTAAATAAACTACCACAATAAACCACAGCCAAACAATCTGTATAGGAAATACACATTTTCAGTTGAAAGAAAAAAAAAGTGTAAAAAACAAGCAGTACTGTATATACAATGGATGATTAAAGAGACATGTTTGCATTTCATTTAGCACAAGAGATAAACCATGCATTAACAGGTATATGGCTTCTGCCTAGCTGCATCAAATGAGTCGGTCTAAGGTTAAGTTGCCACTACAAAATTTGGCATTACAACATGGTATCAGATGATCTAACTCAGGACTTGAAGAGCCTTCTATGATATTTGGCAGATATTCCACCTCTGTTCACCTTCACTGGGGATGAAAATGATGGAAAGAAATTAAATAGGACATGCCTTTATTTTAAATTAACTCTCTACTACATAAAACAAAACTGGATCTGTTTGAGGAAGACGCTGCAGAAAGCTGGCGTTCCCTAGGAAGGTTCTTATCACCTCCCTACACAAGAGCCAACTACAGCCCCCCAACACTGAGTACTGCTTGAGCTAAAGTGGGACCACAGCTTTCTTGTGGTGTGCATGGTAGACACATGTCACCTCAGAATGGAGATGATCGCTGAAACAGCCAACGACTTTCAGAGAAGACTTTTCTAATTCAGAAGGCTGAAAGAACTTGGACACAAAGGACAGGATCAGGCACAAGAAGAACACAACATAGAACTTCCTGTTGTTTCCAAATTCTGTAACATCAGAACAACTCCTCAAATAATTAAGAGTAAAGTAGAAGCATCTATCTTCCCCCTGGCGAGTTGTGAACTAGCTTTTTGCCCATGTGTGTGAATGAAAATTTCAAACTACACAGTTCTGGAGAGAAGAGTGCGTATAAATAACCGGGAGTTCACACATTAAATGAAGAATCTACGGCTGCACTTTTAAATTATGGTGCAAGAGACTACAAATGACTGATAGTCAGAACAAGGTCACAGAAGAGTCTATGTTCTTACCATCTAACTGCTCCAAAAGGACTATCATCCACTGCACCAACCTCCTACTTAATGAGATGACCTTTATCTCTGGTTCCCAATCTGTTACACACACAAAAAGTGAGGTGCAGGGCAGAAACCAAGCTAGTGTATTTTGTCAGCAAAGGGCCATGGAGCAGCAGACTGGGAAAAGATACACATTAATACCCTAAATCTTGCTGCTGAAGGAAGAAAGAAGGAAGTAACAAGTACAGATCATTAAGAAGCAACAGTGACGCTGCTGGAAAAGAAATTCAGTTAAAATGAAGCTCATTCCAAACACATTGGAAACCTCTGATTTAGACAGCCAGGACTTTAGGAGTAAAGAAAGTATAAATAAAGTGTAAATAAAGCGAGTCCAGCAGATGACTGAAGTGAGGACAAAAGCATTTCTAGAAACCATGACCACAGCAACACAAACAAAAATCACCTACAGTTAAAGGGTGAGAAAAACACTTAAGGTAGTTACATGCACTGTTCTTCAAAGTATTCAGAGCACACGCAATGCACTGCACAAACCCAGGAATTTATCAACTTCCTGACTGAATAAAATATTAAGGCAAAGGACGTAAAAAGTATTTTATACTTCAAGTAACTTTTTTGATTGAAGATCAATACTTCAGAAGGTCAGACTAAGAACAATATGTTCCTTTTTCCATTTTCTTTGTTTACATATCAGTTATAGAGGGAAGCTTCACTTCACGAAAATCCTTTCAAAGCTACTCACCAACAGTAGTCACAGGAGGCTGAGGAGGGTAGTACTGAACACTAGTGGTTGCTGGAAATGGAACACCACCCGGATAAGGATAGTTTGGGTAGCTGCTTTGACAAAGAAAAATATGCTAACATTACATAACTACTTGTAAATATCATCTGTGTATATTATCTTTATGACCCCATGTTAAACATTTATTTATATCATAAAATGTTTAAATTATAGGCCAAGTTATACTTTTTCTCTTTTGCTGTTCACATTAACATCTTTCATCATTTATATATTTCTGGTCTGATTTAAGAAAATACTATTCCATCTGCAACCCTTTTCTAGTTACTACCTGGGTTAAACATTTGGATCATTCCAAATTCTCTTCAATCTCTTAATCTTGCCATATGAAACCCCAAAAGTATCCAAAAGAAATTACTGTAGCTACAAACTCATGAACAACAATATGAGAATAGTTGACTACTGAACTAACTGCTTTACGTAGACCTAAAAATGTTGTGCAAAATATGGTTGCAAGATGAAACTCCTCCAGAAAGTCTCAGCCCTGCTCTGAAGGATGAAGGAAAGCAAAAGAATTAATTTGTTCACTGAAACAATTGCGAGATTACATGTAACATGACAATGTACAATACCTAAAATACATTTACTAGGACTCAAATTAGTCAGTATTAGACTGACCAATGCCTGTATGCAGCAGAGTATTAACCATGACTAGAAGTTAAAAAAATGGTCTAAAACATCATATAAAATATAAATTAAGCATATTCTGTGCCTCCCCAGATAACTGCAGATTTAATAGTTCTTAAAAACTTTCTGTTAATTCATAAATGATATTATTTTTAAAATAGTTCTTCTATTATTCATTTTTGTACAAACATGAAGAGCATTTTATTTAGGAGGAAAAAACCTTTCATAACTTATCAAAATCCCCATATTTTACTTCTTAAAACATTAGCACCGCCACCTTCCTAGTGATTACAGGTTTGTTTTTTGGGGTTTTTTGTTTGTTTGTTTGTTTTTTAAATCAAAACGTTATATACTACAGCAACTCCTCATACACTCCTAACAAAACCAGGACATTAATAATAAAAATAATTAATTATGATATGAAAAAATATAGGTACACACTAGGAGGCAGCAATCAGCATCTTACTACTTGCTAAGACAGAATTGCAAGTGTTCTGGAAAAGCTTTACTCAAAACTATTCTATAGTAATAAAAAGCTCTGAACTAAGCTCACATTTATGCTGGAGTCAAGGTTTGTATTAAACCAGCAATTGTTTTGTTCAATGTTTTGAGTTGCTAATTACCTCAAACAATACTAAAAACACTAATAAAAAACTAATCCAACATATGAGTGAAGGACGATAACATGTGGGAGTTAGGTAATAATTTCCAAAATATATTTATCACCTAAGTACGTTGTATTTGGCAAGCAATGCTAAGAAAACTAAACCTTTCTCAAGCTATCTTTTGGCTATTGACAAGAATTCAGCCCTCACTTTTGAAGAAAACTGCTAATAGGATAATTATACAACAAATATACCAAAAGAAAATAGAACCAGGACTAGATACTATTCAGTGAAACTGTCTATTATGTAAATGGTGATGGTTTAAAGAGGTTCTTACCTCGGGTTTGGAGTGCTTCCTGCTGAATAGGCAGATATCCCACCTGGCATGCCCGGCACATAGGAAGCTAAATAAAATGATGATTTTGTACGTTTTTACTTTTCAGAAGTTTAATATATATTGAGATCACATCTATATTAAGCTGCAGAAATATGCTTTAAAAAATATTATTGAACGATGAATACAGTACAACACAATGAAACAACAAGAGTAAGAGAAGTCATTCTATGGCCAAAACCCCTTGAAAACTGCACCCTCTAATGCCATCACTTCACAAAGCACTCCCGCCATTTCCTGTGCTGCTCTTGTGCAGCTTGGCCAGAGGGATACGTGCAGATGTTTGTTGTGAGCTACCTCTCTGCCAACTGACCAAGGCAGCTGCTTCCCCTCACAACACATAAAGGGCTAAACTGCAGCAGACCTTCCCTCCATGTATTAACCAGTTAGAATTGCCTTTCTGTATCCAAGCACATGAGAACTGTAACCGAAGTCAATTACACATTCGTTAGAAGAACTAGCTAGAACACCTTTCACTGCACATTTTTTCTTAATCATTACTTTAAATTAACCACTGCATGGATAAAAATGGCTATCAATTTAGAATTCACAAGTAGTTATACTAAGTAAAACGGGGAGACATAAGAAAAAGTATCTGCAGCTAGGGAACTCAAAAAAAAATGTTATGTTATTAAAGATGATACACCTGAAGAGCTGTTTCCATTTTTTATACAATAGCTGAAAAAAGAAAATAACCTTTCCAATGTAGCCATTGTTCTCTACTCACTAAATATGTAACTTAAGTACCTTCAGAGCAGCTAGACTTCACAACAGTTGACTAGCTATTTAACAATCCATCCATGTTCTTATACAGTAATTTCTGCTATTTAGAAGTTACATTAAAAAAAAATTATCAGCACATATAAATGTCTAAGGCTTTAAAAGTCCTAGCAATTTTAAGTTTCTTCTTGGAAATCTGACAATTCTATTATAAAAATTATGTTTTCAATAGATTTATTCCATATTTCTAGTAATTACAGGAATATTATATCAAAATAGCATTTTTTTTAAAAAAAAAGAGCCAATCTATTTTCATCCTTGAATGCTTTCAAATGATTCAATTTTTTAAAAAGGGCTTCATTCCTTCTTAAAACAGTGTATCTAGAATTAAAAAAAAAAAAAAAGAAAACTAAATGCACTAAAACTGAGTAGATATTAACCATGTGAAAATCCTGAAACATTTCCACTAAAATTACTTCAGCTATGCTAGCACTGAGTGACTGCAATAGTAGTGAAGCGTGTTTCAATTGATGGCCCTTCCTTAAAGCAATACAGGTCACAGACTCTACCAAAACCGTACTTGCACTGACACCCACTGTCCTTGGAAAATCAGAACAGTGGAATCATCTAGTGCTCCTATAGGTAGGCTGGTGCTGGACAAGCTGTTAAGTCCCAAATACTTACCTTTAGCCAGCTGTCCCTAATGGTCCCATTTATGCCTGTTGCCCCTTTCCTCACACATGAGGAATCTAAGACCTTGTTAAAAATGGTTTCTGCTGGTAATTGTAATGAATAGTACTTCAGCTTTTCAGATGTAACAATATGATCTGATAAAAGCTGTATTTCAATAGAAAACACACACAGCCTTAGAAATACAGCAAAGTATATAACTCAAATACAGCAAAAATATGTAACCCCAAATACAGCTACTCTACTATTAAATTATTGTAGAACTGTTATAATGTCATTAAACAATCTGCAGCTAATCTACTCCCTCTCCCCTCCTGCACCAGTCTTTGGCTTGACTAAGTCTACTCTACTGTTTTGGGTTTTTTCCACCCAATTTATAGTCTCTTTTTGGAAGAATTTCTGGAATTTCTAGGATTTTCTGTTTCCCATTCTTGCCTGTTTCTTCCCCCATCTACCTATCCTGACTCTTTAAAGTATGCCACCTCCAGAAGTTTAAATAAATGATTTTAAAAGTCTTGAGAATTTCTGCAAGAAAATAAGAATGGGTACCAAGTCAGAGTGCCAAATCAACAAAGAAGGATGAAAAAACACAGGGCAGGGTTTTTTCATATTCAGCCAGCAAAAAAAAAAAAAAAAAAAGTGTGGGCACAGGAAACACAAGCAGTATGCTTTTGCTTATGAAATCAATGGTTGCATGAAACTTAACAGATGGACTTCCATTATCAGAATAAAGAAAATTAAGATAACATCGGAATAATCTCTTTTTAAGGGTATCTCTGAATGTTGACAGGTTAGTTGTCGTTTTGAGGGGTGTTTGTGTGTGGTTTGTTTTTTTTTGTTTTTTAAATATAAACTGGATTTTCCCTCCCAAAAGCTAAAAAATCACACACAATCTTCCAATATAGTTCAAAGACGTCAAGTGCAGCCCAGGTGAATTCATTAGCCAGCAATATGGAAAGTCATTCTAGAGTAGAATGCATAATTTGTTGACAAACAATGCAGAGCAACAATTGTTCTGGAGTGATAATATGAATATATGTAGAAATCATGACCACTTACTTGTTGGCGGGCCTGTTGCCTGGTATGGTGGGTAGCTTGACGAAGCCGTAGGTCGAGAAAAGACCGGAGGTTCCTCACCAAACACAACGATCATGACCTGAATCAGCTCCAGCAAGTCTGACTGGGGCTGGGAGGGTAAACAAATCACAAGGTGTTGATTTTGCCAACAGAGAGTTTAGTTCACTATAATAACAAAATTATACCATTCCATCAGCTCTCAAAAGTCATCCTTTTATTGTGGGGCTTTAATTTCTTTTTAAATATGTTACTTTTTTAAAAACTATATGTATATATACATATGCATATTTAACTTTCTTTCTGGATTCCTTTACAGATACCAAAACCAGGCAGCTGGTATTCAAAATGGTATAGCAAAATACAGCTGCAGTAGCATTTACACTCAGAATAAACTGGGTAATACACTGTTCCATATCAACCGCAGGGCAATAAATGACTGAAGATGACTGTACAATGATGGATTACTGTGTTTTTTAAAAAACATAAATTCACTCTCCAACATGAAAAAAGTACTGATCACTAAGTTTTCAGCTATTTCAATTTCATAAAGCATATAGCTTTTGCTCAGGTTCAAAATGGCTCAACAGAAAAAAATATTCTAACCCACTAAGGAGTGGCACAAACCTCCTTTAAATATAGCTTCTCAGTTATAACTACATTTAATATAGGCATGATTTCATTTCACCAAAATAAGGACAAGCATCATGTATGCAGCACCAGATTACATATCCTATTTCTAAACTTTCTTAGCTCCATAATCCCCTTAGTTATTTTTACCAACCTCTCAAACTGAATGGATTCTGTATCACCTGTATCTCAGACGATCCTCTTGCTTGTGCAAGATCTCAGTTCTGATCTGGGCAGTCATTTTCCATTTGTATGTCAGCACTGAATCACCACCCATGCTTAATAAGTTTATTCCTGATAATCACTTTTTACAAAACTATGCATCTTGTACTATTTTTCTGACCTTGTCAGCATAGTTCATCTTCTTTACAAGTCCATGTTTTGGTCACAACTTCTATGAGGTCTGCACTGCCCAATATCTTTATTTATTGGTAAAGCAAGTGTATCCATATACTTGAAGGTCCAGCAACATCTACATAAAGTCAAAGTGCTCATACAAGTCCAATTTAGTGATAGAAATTAATTTCAGCCCAGAGATGTTTTAACAGAATTTTTAATTTCTCTTCTGTAAATATTTTTATCTCACAGATCTTCACATCAGTGTCCTGACAGGCAAGGACACCTATCCTGTACTGTTTAATCAGACAAACTGTAACTAAAGATGCAAAGAACCAGGCCACAGAATGCAACATCTTGAACTTTAAGGCATTACAAATAATGAGCATAAGTTTTCATTTAAAAAAATATTTAAGATCTTGAATAAGATTATCCCTTTTGTTAAAAACAATACAGCTATCTAAAAGAATTCAGAACTGAGCAACTTCAGAATTCCAAGTTCCCTGTACGTACGTATTTCCACTCATGCAGATAAGGAAGGTATATCTTTCCATTTGCATCAACATGCTTCCCAGTTTTTATTGTCATAGAGCTAGTGGGTTTAACAAAACAAATTGGGGGGTTGAAAGGGTAGGTGTCCAGCAGCCACAAGCAAATTGGGATATTGTATGTGTTACCTAGAAAAGATATTTTGAAAGATTTTAAAGGTTATTCCAATTCTTCCAACTGTCGTCTTGTATATAGATTTATAAAAAACTCCTAAACCCAGTAAATTCAACTGCACAGCCAGAAGCTGAAGCCAAAATGTACTAGTAACATCCAACAAAGAGCTCACAATATGGCCATGAACTCAACATTTTTCAGAACAATTTAACTTTGATTTATAACTATCATTTACCACTAATACATTATCTCATTTGTTCTAAAATGCAGCATTATTAGACCTAATCTGAATTATCATTAGCTGCAGCAATAAATGGTTTGCAACATTCATTCAATTGAGAAGCTTGAAAAATGTGCAGTACTGAAAGAAATGTTACAGAGCTGCTCAAGACTGAAGTAGCAATGCTCAACATTAAAATCTAATTTTGCAGCAAAACCAGGGAACAATTTCTTTAAAACATTATACTTTGGACAAGTAAAGGATTTCAAGAAAACAGTGATCACTGAAGTAGTGAAGTTGAACCAGGACAGATCTAAAGAGTTTTTCATGTAATTTGGGAAAATAATGGTGGTGGTGACAATAATAATAAATGAATACCTCTGTAAGGCACAGGAATGGTTCCACTGAGGCTCATCAACTCCCTAGATGAACCATCGTTAAAAACTGAAAGGGAACAAATAGTACTTTTAAAACATAGAATCAGCTTGAAAGGTTCTGCTCTTGCACATTTCTGGACTAGCATGCGATTGTCTACAGTCAGGTAACTTCTTATGTATAACATATTTCTGATAAATGAATGACTAATTATTGTCAAACTACCTTCACTGCAAATAAAACTGGCTTCCTCATTCACAGACCAACTAAAAAATTTTGGAACCACACAAACTGCAAATCATACAAACTGCTGCAGAAATAATCTGAACTGTCATTTTAGGATTACAAAGAATTCCTTATGATTTCTCCAAACAATGAGGTCAGCAAGAATACTGAAAATTACTTGGCCACAGGCATTTGTTACATAATCATTAAAGGTAATTTATCCAAACAATAATACACTGAAGAAATGTGTAGCACTTCACTCACTGACATATCTTAGGCTTAGTTCACAAACTGACCAGGAACCCTGGCCTCAATTTACTGAGTTCTGTATTTAGTTTTTCCCATAATTTCAGCCCAACAGATTATTCTTGGCTGAATAAACCAACTTGTGGTAATAAAGCTTCTATTTTCCTAATTTCACCTGAAACTTTCTAGTCGTACTCCAAATGTAGCTTATCGTGTCCAATGGCTTTGGTGCTAATGTTCTGCAAAGGCAAGTAGAACATGTTGGGACAGAAACGCGGGTATATATTCCATTAATAATATAAACCTGAAAACCATCTGAACAACAATGTAATGATTTTCTTGTTGCTCATTTCACTGCTGCAAATAGTACCAATTATCTGTAAGTGGTTCCATGCTCAGCCTTTCCCAGGCAGCTTAGAAAGAGTTAGGTAATACAAATGGGCTTCTTGCTACAGCTCAAAGCCAGCTGGAATTCTGAACAGTATGATTATGCAAACGTGCAGTCCTTTCACTATTGTTTTCAATTCTCCAATCACTGCATGAATTTTTATTTCAGTGACAGCTGCTGGCTTGCAGCTATTCAAGTTAAAACTAATTTATGTTCTAGCTGACCAAGTCCCTTCTTAATACTTCTCAATCCAGATGTAGAATTTAGAAACCAGATGGCTATAAAAATCTCTGATGATGTATCAGTAATATAAATTAGCTCACTAAGGAATCCCACAGGTGACAGTTTAAAAAGGTGATCAGAAGGATGACCTCAGCAGCTATGCTGGCTCACTGTATCTTGTGAAACCATGCCCTCAACCTCTGGAGCTGACCCCAGACATAATCTTAATTCAACACACTCAAAGTTACTCAGCGCCTTAGAAATAGCTAACAAACATTGACTGTCATTGTTTATTTACATTAAAAAACCCCTCATATCAATTTTCTTCATACTCTGAAGGACTGCCACAATTGAAGGACTGCCAAATACTTTGGCAGAATGAAGTATTTGTTCATTCATTTACAGTTCTTTCTAAATAGAACTCTAAAAATACCTTTACATGACAGCAAAGCTGAATTTATGAAACACCAGCAATCTCAGGATACCAACTGATACGACATCACTGAGCAAGTAACTAAAAATTAAGCTGTGAAAAATGCAACACTTCTTGGCATATCAGACTCAGTAATAAGGAAAGGTTATTTGAGAAAATAACTGTGTTTCTAAGGAAGTATTGCTGTCAAAGATCAAGAAGAGAAACTCAAATGATGTTTTCTACTTTTAATCTCCTTTTCCCCCACACAAACTACCAAATATATCTAAACCTTCAACAATTCAACAGCAAAAATTTTCTTATGCACAGACTAACCATATGAATCCATGACAGGTTTGAGGTCCTTGTACTGCGTAATAACACTGGTTGTCTCCTGTACAGTTAAGTCTCTATACTTATACTGGAAAACAAAAGAGAAAGAACTACTTTAGAGACTAAATCTTCAGCACAATTTATTTTTGTTTTATTTTACCCGATAGATTACGTTTATGAGAGTTTACATGGATAAATGGACATTCTTCTCGACTCTTGTTTTGGAATAAGAATTTCTTTCTCTATATTACTTAACACTGCCTATAAAACTTAACCGAACTTTAACAAGGTGTTAAGATGCTGTTAGTCTTAAATAAGGGTCCATACATCAAGGAATTTGGGGAAAGTTATTGCATTTTCATTCACGTTCTATCATAACCAACAGTATCTTGAGATGTATGTGGATCTTAACCCACCCCCCCCGCATCTGAACAAATACAGTGTTGTTTTGAACATTGCTGACACAGCTATCTAGAATCTGAACCTCACAGATATCTTTCATAGAACTTTACAAAGCATCACAGTATTTATCAATCATCGATCAGTGTTTTCATGTATTTTATCAACTAGAAAGTAGATATTTCACAGCACGATATTATCAGTAGTAATACTGGTTTTGTCCCCTTCCTTTTATCTGGATCAGGGAGTAACTCAAAGCACAGAAGATCTGTAAACCACAGATACACTACTACAGAATTTAACGGATTCAGAACTATAATCCACAGACAACAGAGGAGATGGTTGTGGGCAACAGAGAGCTGGTTCACCATGCTCTTTAACCTTGTGGCCATTCTTCCTTATAACTACCATTAAAAAGAAAAACTAACAATGTAGTCCCTTGGCAATGTTTTCACTGTAATAAAATTTTTACAAGATTACAATCTTCAGATGTCTTAAGGAACATAAACAGCATCTTTTCATTCAACCATGGTAGGAAGACCATGGCCCAACATGATGAAATGTGCAATACCTAAAGCATGCAGACATTAACATCTGAACAAATTCATTCAGACATCACCCAAGTGCAAAGTTTAACGCTGCAGCCCAAGGTCACCTTTGCTCCAACAAACACTCATGAATTGCAAAGCTTAGAAATGAACTCTTTTTCCTATTATCTATAGAGAGTGACAAAGAGGCTACTCCTGGGCATGATCACTCTTATTTAATGAGCAGAGATGAACCCACCATGCCACTTCCCATAATGCCACCTTAGTCTACAAAAAGCACCTGTGCTTTGAGCAATGCTGCGACTTCTCTTCCTGAAATGACCAAGGCCATTGGGTCAGTCTGCAAAGTGTGGGTCTGTGAGAATGCGAGGGACCCCTCCAGCAGGGACGGCTGCGTGTGCAGGGGGCTCCAGCACAGAGGTCACTCAGCCGGAGGGGCAGGGCAGCCCCTGGGTGCTGTTTTGGTGGGATGGCTGCAGCAAAGCACCTCAGCCTCCTCTGGAAAGTGGGTGCAGGATTGGGAGTGTGCAGGAGGGGCCTGACAGAAGACAGACAACTCTGCTAGCATTTGAGTACACCCCTCCCTCCCCAACACCTAGCAGAAGTGAGAAACGGATAATGTGCATTGCTACAACACGGAGACAGAGGTCAGGGACATATTAGCTAGGCCAGCCAGGGACTAGTAATACATACCACATCACTGAATGTGTCACTACAGTATGGATAAGGGTGTGTCACCAGCTACTTCAAAAGAGGGAGTTTTTCTATAGGAACGTACCTCATGGTGCAGGACTGGCATAATCATTATTAAAAAGAGAACTGACTTCCAGTAACAGAAGCTCCTAACAGACACAAGGATTCAGAGTCGGGATTTAACTCCACTTTTGGCACAAGACCCTCAAGTCTGTTTAGTCAAGGAATAGAAAAAACACCTGCCTGCTCAGCAGGCATATTGATCTGTACACAGGGGTTGATAGAGCTGACAAGCAAATCTGTGTTTTATCTGGGGCGTTTTTAAAAATTAGGTCCACGACCTGAAAATTAAAAAATACTTTCATGTGTCTTTTAAAACTAAGAATATTGCTGCAAATAGTTTTTACACTGAATAACGAGTAATTACTTAGTAGAGAGAAGCTTGTAAGATTACAGATACTGCCACAAGCAAAATTAAGTGGTACATCAGCTATTAATTTCAATACTTCGATCCAGATAATTATAGAAGGTTGAAGTTCTGTAAAATAAAATTACATATGAAGAAGCTTTTCCTAAGGAGAATGATGGCGTTACTAGAATTTTTCATTATTTAAAGCACAGAGTATGCTCTTTTGTGCTTACTTCTCTTTTCCATCCTAAGGAGTACCAGAATATTACAGGACAATCTTTCTCCCATGTTCATATAGTAAGTAGTCATGCATTTCCAAGAAATGTCAAAATCTCTTTGGAAAATATAAGATCCTAGTGATTTCTACAAAGGTATCTAAAACTGATTATTCTGAATTCTTACTTTTTAAACTTCTTTTTTCCCTCCTCCATCCTCAGATGGCAAATACATCCTCGTCAGTTTAGGTATCAGGAAACATCAGAGAGATGCTTTTCAAGATCAGACAGCAGGTAAGTATCTTAAGTTCAATTAAGTGGTGTTGTTCACCCAAACTACAGTTTAACTCTTTTGTTATTTTACACACAGAGCTATTCAATATGGGAAATAACTAAGCTTCCCTCTACAGAACTGAAAGTGTAACCATTTTTGAAAAATTAAGTAGTGAAATGGTAATTCCATTTTTCAACTACCTGTTATACCTTGCGCTTTGAACTTACCTTCAGAAAGTCACATGAGGGTATAAAATAGGGGAGTGCGAGGGAAAGAGGACACAGGACTGCCTTATATTCTGTTTCTTCTGTGGCATGGCAATAATTCATTTAGGGAAGACAGGTGTATACAAATATCTACACGATCTCGTTTGCTGACACCAAGTTAGTATTCAGCACTCATTTTACAGCTAATAAAAAAATCTGCTTATGATTCCATGCTGATGAAAGACCCTTTAATAAGGTTTCTTTAGTTTTGATCAGATCCTCGCCTATTGTATTTAATTTTAAAAATGTGCAAATGTTATGATTGCTGCTAAAAAAAAAAAAAACCAAAAAAACATAACTCCATCTAAATATTCAGCCTTGCGGGTTTTCATTTCAAGCTGCTGGACAAAGCCCAGTTTTCACCTAAAGAGTGGCACAACTGCACATGGCCCTGTATGATGCAGTGATGAATGATTTACCTTCCAAGAGATTTTCTTCTTTCTTTAAACATGGGCAATGAAGAAACGCACCCTTATCCTAGTCAATGAAGTTGACCTTGCCTTCCACCTTCATTTAACCAGTGAATGCAAACGCTGCTGTACATCCCAACAACCCACACCGCAGCCCCGATCCACTTCCACGCACGACAGCCTCTGCCAAGCAGATGGTGTCTATTCAGCTTTTACCAGCAATATCCTAGTCCAGACCCAAACTTCCACAGCATTACAAATAACGCCGTATTTTAGGTTTTGGTGCAGCCTACCCCCCTTTACAAAGTAACTCAACCTACAGTGTCCAGGGGTCCCGACACCGCCTTTTTACCGCCGCTTGGCCCGGCCCTCCCTCTCCACGACTGCGGCCGAAGCCCCCTCCCCGCAGGCTGCCAGCTGTCCGCGACCGCCCGTCAGGAGGCAGCTGGTATT